GTATATGTGTGTGTGTGTGTGTGTGTGTGTGTGTATATATATATATGTGTGTGTGTGTGTGTGTTTGTTTGTGTGTGTACTATGTATACCACAGCATGTATGTTTTCATTAATTACATTGATTAAATACACATGATGATGGGGAATTTGAATTGGAAAGACAGGTAATTGGAAATGAATCGCAGTTCATTATCGAGTTCAACACAGTCAGAACAGTGGAGTTTCATTAGTTAAACACAAGTCTGGGGGGAAAGGAAAGAAAAACAATTAAAGTTCACGTAATATGCCTGTTTATTGATTGCAATCCAGAATTTTGAAAGTTTTTTGAACAAAAAAAACTAAGCAAACATTACAAATTACATTATAAATATAATATCATAGCCACAAATTAAGAAATAGTTCCCATGTTCGCCAACCACGTTTAAAGGGAGCCTGGCACATGACACAAAATAATATATTTATTGTGGCCACGAATTACAAACTCGTTCTCTCAAGCTAACAAATTAAGACAGTGCTGGGGATTACATGCACTCATAATTAGAGTACATTACATTTTATAATGCTCGTAATCGGATTACTTTTATGGATTACATGATTACACATTATTCACACAATGGCAGTAAATTATTCATAATTTATTGATTCTTTTTTTCTTTTAAAGAATGTCAGCTATTGGTTACATTGATATGCAGGTAAACCAATTACATTTCTATTTTTAGTGTTCAAGTGTTTAAAACAAGTCATCTAAAATGTAGTCAGAATACATTATGTTACAAACTCGTCATGTAATCTGTGATCAGTAACAGACTATAATTTGTAAGTAATCTACTCAGCTCTGCTCTTTAATGTCTTTACTGTACAAGCCAGTATGGATGTTCTCGTGCAGAGGTAATCATATTGATCTACTTGGCTCTCACGTCTTCTGAGGAGCCTTTATTTCTTCAGCTCTCAATCACTGCATTATATGTTTGGAGCATTTCAATCTCATTTTACTGAGACATGTTACTGGAGATATAGAGCCACCACTGATATTTAGATCATTTTATGACAGTATCTGCTCTACTGTTAGAAAGATCTCATTGATTTACATTACAAGCAGCAGAATCTCATATTTTTAAGAAATAGGAATATTTTAAAAACAAATTAGAATCCGCGAGGAAACACTCTCCAACAACTTTTAAGGCTCTCGGTAGATTATAATGTGGTTTTGGAGTCTCTTTGCACTGAATCATGTGATCACTCACACAGTCCCTTATTTCTTTTATTCATCATATATATTTTACAGCATTTAGTCATCTTGGTTAATGTTGCTTTATATACTGATGTAGTCCGTGTTTCATGTGTAATGTCAGATTTGCTTTTAAGGTGCACACAATTATTTAAAATATAATATAAAAAATGTATTAGTCCGTTATAAATGACCTAATCTTTATTGTCTTTCACAGGAAATGTTTTCTAAATACAGTGAACATTAGACGGGAAAAAAATCTCTAGTTTTTAATAGCGAGAGGAAAATACAGAACGAGGATTGTTTTCATATTAAACATCACAACAGACATTCATATCACTCAGTTTATGAAAATTATTGGGTTACATTAGATTTAAAGTAAGAGAACTCGGAAGTATTTACATATAATCAGTGAACCAAACATATGTTTATTTGTTTTTTTAGATATACAAAATTGTTGCCTAATGACATTACATTTTGTTGAATAAATTATTTAGAGAGAGCTGTTGATGAGATTGTTGAATGGCCATTTTCTGTTGTTTGAGATACAAAATAGGTGGTTATGTAGGATATTTCTTGAAAGAAATTTTGAAAATGAGAATTGTGATTAAAAAAGTAGGTGTAATTAATAATGGCTACTCCTTGGTTACTGTCAGTCTTGGTAAATTTAGTTATATAGCCTATATATATATATATATAATCTGCTCATGATTCCACAAATAGTACAATAGCAAATGTGTTGACTAAAAAAAGAGCCTCGATAATAAAACATACAGGAAAAATCGGAGAGCTATACAGAAGCGTTTTGTGAATAAAAACTTCCCTGAAGCAATCACACTGCTTCATAAAGTTTGCATTACACCACTGGATTTGAAACTCTTTGATCGGACTAAAACTACAGGTTCTGTTCTCATTAAATCCGTTTTTATTTTATTTTTGGCAATTTCATAATATACAATTAGAACAATATACACTAGTACATTACTGAGCTTAAGCAATAATATAATAATCATAAACAACATTACTGACATGTTATTCATCATTAATAACTAGCACATGTCTAAAGAAGACTGCATGCTTACTGTAACACAGGCGCACAATAACAAAACTGGAATGTGCTTCTCACCTGGTTAGTCAAGCCACTAGCGTAAGAGCATTTCTATATCAGCAGAAAGCACTGTTTAATTCTCAATTCATCACTATCACTTAGTTTGACAAAATGGTATAACATGGAAATAACAACAATTAGGTAAATAGACATCAGTATCACTGATAATTAATTTGGTACTATTGCTCCTCCCAAACATTTAAGTACAAACATTCCTATAGACCCAAATTTAAGATTTATGTACTTGAATTGCATATAAAATGTTCATCCATTTGGATTACTAACATAAACTAAATGTGATGCATATTTGTCAGTCATGCATAACTGAAACAGGCACTGATAACAGATTTCTGTAATAATATTAATAAAATGAGTTTGTATTCAATACACAATAACCAGGTTTATATATTTATCATCAATAAATCCAATTTTCACTCTCATTCATTTGAACTAACTGAATATTGCTTGTTCCAACACTAGCTATATTTTAACTCTTCATACTTTTTAACTGAATACATGTAATAGTTTTCAGAATGAACAGCTGTATGCTGATTCTAAGCAATTTGAATATATGCATTTTAATTTTATTTATTTAGTTAGTTAGTTAGCCAGTTTCATTTATGCATGACTGGGCAAATATGCATCACATTAAAGGAATAGTTCACCCAAAAATGAACATTTGCTGAAAATGTGTTCACCCTCAGGTCATCCCAGATCAGGATGAGTTTGTTTCTTCATCAGGTTTGGAGAAATGTAGCACTGCATCGGTGTCTCAGCAATGGATGCTCTGCAGTGAATGGGTGCCGTCAGAATAAGAGTCCAAACAAAGCTTTATTATGGATTATGGACTCAATGTATTTTAGTTAAAAACGTCTTAATGCTGGATGTGTTTCAGCTTTTGTCTTCTCCAGATGTTAACTGATGGACTGGAGTGCTGTGGATTACTTGTGGATTATTGTGATGTTTTTATCAGCTGTTTGGACTGACACCAAAAACATCATAATTTAGAAGTAATAGGCTATGATTGGCTAACAGTTGTGTTTGTTTGACAGTCTACATCCTTCACAGATGGATGCTGCTGTGATTTAGGTTAAAAACGCATAAATATTCAGTACATATCAAGCGATCTGTAATAACAGACAAAGCAATAGTGAGCACGTAATAAAAACAGTTCCTCGCAAAGACTGTTTGAGCGGATTTTTAGTGCGCGTGCTTCAGGTGTAGGCGCTCAGAAAAAGCACATGTCAGAACAGCACGCGAATGAAATGTTTAACCAGTGAGACTTTAAAGCACATGCAAATCGTGTACTTTTGTGATTGCGAATAAGTGCAGTGTACAGTATATTGAGACGGAGGCGCCAGAACTGCAGCTGATAGAATGAGATACTACCATATTTAACTTGGGTAAAGTTGGTTTTATATTTGCACATTCACACATTACCGCGTTCAATAACTTTCTAATTATATGTGCAATAAAGTTATTTTTTGCAAATTCTAATCAGCGACATGATTGTCAACCTACTACATTTTTTCCACAATCGATCAAAATGGCCAAGTATAGTTTTAATGGCATACTTACTTGCGAATGTCCAACGTAGAGCCGAAAACAACATTGTGTGCAAACGGACAACAACTTTGTAGCCAACTACAGAGGTCCCAGCAACTATCACTCACATTATGTCTTCTAATGCTATAGATTTTCCTTTAGCAACAATAAAAATAGCATTATAATTATGTTTTTTGAAAAGATGTTTGGGAAACGAAAAATAATGAACATGTACGTGAACTGTAATTTGGTAACAATCCAGTGGAAAGTGGAAAATCACCTGGAATCTCCTGAACATAGTTAATTGCTTCATTTTAAAACTGTTTTTATTTATATCTTTGCTTCAAAATGAAAAAGACCTGTGTTGGTTTGTTATGGTTTTAACAATGACATATGCTTTATCCCAATAGGTTTTGAAAGCATGGGCCGACTACTCCAAAGACAGTTGGAACATCTTGTCTGGAGCCTACAGAACATACTACAGCCCATGTCTTGCTGTTTTATTCACCTGTTTTTCTGGTTTTAGTGTGATAAAGACTTAACAGTGTAACAGTGTTCTCCAGCTGTTGAATGAAAAGAATGGCTAAACTGTCTTTTATGTTTTCCTATTGTATGACATGTTCGTTTAACATTAAACTCTCACAATATCACAATTCAAGTGCATCGAATGATGTTTACAGTCCTGCATAAATGTCACTGTCCATGGTGCTGAATACATCAGATTATTGACAAGTACTCGGAAAGCATGACAGCAAACAGGATGTTGATTTTGGGTGAATAGAGGACAGTGAGGATGCCTCTTTAACCAACCATGTCTCATCACCTGCCACTTGTTCCTTCACCACTTGCATGGCCTGCTGAAAATAAGCAGAGAATAGTGATCTGCCAATGATGGTCGTTGCACATCTTCTGCCTTCACTTTCACACGTTTCCCAGTCTTTAGATTGGGTAGTTTCTTCCAGTGTATATTCTTTGGATCTTGAAATTACACTCTCCAAAATATACAGACTTTCTTTGACAAGGTTTGTGATTTGTGGGGTTGTGAGCAGGGCACATAATGGATGGAACGCAATTCTTGTTTCAGTCACGTTGCTGGCATTTTGGAGTCTTGCGAAAGCATTCGTGGAAAAGTCTCTCGGTACTTTGTCATTGGTTTGCCTGTCTGACAGCTTTCAAAATGTGCGCAGAGCAAATGTGCAAGACAGAGCATATTATCTCACTCATAGGTTTCTTTTAAGAAATTAAGATCCTTGGATTCTTCCCATGGCTCTTATCTGGCCTGTGGTAACTTGCCAATGTTATGCATACTTTGTTTGAGGAGAGGGGCGATGTGTAAGTTAGTTCTGGGAAAGACGGGCACAGCCAGTGTATGGGACTGGACTTGAACAACCCAGATCAGTTACAGTTTTTCACAATCGATTTGGCACATTTCTCCAAACTCAGGTTACTGTTCTGAGAACATCTTACACAGTGATCTGAACACTTTATAATTGTCCCAAACAGATTGTTGTTTTCATTCATGTCATGCAAATTACAAATCATGCAAATCATTTTCTCAAAACACTGTGAACAAAACTCTCAAATGTTTTCGTAAGTTAATACAACTAACCAGTACTTTAAAACATCTGAAGAAGAAAACAAACAATTGTAGCTCCTTTTATTGGTTTTATACAAATCACAAACATTGATTTGTCCATACACAACAAACAACACTCTGTAATCTGTCATATCATCAAATGCACAGCCACAAACTAATAACTGCTCGCTTAATAACAGACAACAAAGGAAATGCAGTTTTTCTAATTGTTTACACATTTATCTCAATTGCTTAAAAAGGGAAAAATATACAGAGAACAAGAAAAAATATGTAAGGGGGCGGGGGTAGATGAGTAGAGTGCAGGTCATTGGTGTAAAGAGCATGAGGAGAAACTGTAAGACATGGACAGAGAAGAAGTGGACAGCACAGTGGAAGGAGAGATAGAAGGTACAGACCAATTTCAAATGAAAGCAGTTACCCTAATTGACCAAGTAAGAAATCACGGCCTCTCCTTTAGAGAAGCTGTGGAACAGATCTAAAGAGTTTGTCAATGCACTTCTATATTTCTATATAAATATCGTACTGTAGAGATGTTGAGACAGGAGCTTGTCAAGCATGGATTCAACCTTCTCGCATTTTTTCCCGCTATGATGTAAACACAGCAAGAATGTAGTGTGGATAAAATGCAGTGCAGATGAAATTCTCTTCCAGATGTAAATGAAAGGCAAGATCAATATTTCAGCAGAATTAATGTACAAATGCAAACACATACACACACATACGCAGCTGTATAGTTTACATATACACAATACATACAAAACAAAACTCCCTGTTGAAGAACTTTGCAATAAATGTATTTTCATTAGTGTATTTGTGCATCTACAGCTTAATATGTTTCAATACAGAACAAACCTGTAGATCTGATGTTAATATTTACTTATAATAAACACTTTACTAGAAAGCACTGTATGAATGCGATAGTAGCGAAGATCGCCTTTGCTGGAAAACACCTGCCAACTTATGGGGTGTTTTGACTTGAGTACACTGTTACAACTGTTACAAGTCTGACAAAGCAAATGAATAAATATTCCATTGTAACAGAGAAGATAAATACGATAAACACTCCTGACACACCACTACAGTTAGAATTGATCACTTAAAAATGTTCATTAGAAAATTACAAAATACACAGACATTCATTATTGTTTGAAACGTTTTTAAAGTATTTGTTTCAACTATTAAAATTGTATTTAAGAGTTTGTCCAAATAAACCTCGTCTATGATGTCATGCTCTCTGATGACTTGATCAAGGAAAATGATGAAGATGAAAATGATCCTTCAGACATGTTTATTCAGAAACATTAATTTCTCAACTGTTTTAGGGCTAAGGCGATTTCTTTTTTTTGACACAACTTCTCCTGCCTTTGAAAACACCCTTTCGCAAGGCACAGATGAAGCCGGGGTACATAAATACTTGACAGCAAGCCTATACAGATGAGGATATATAAGCTTCTGTCTCTCCCAGTACTGAAGGGGGTCCTCTAATCGCCCAATATTTGGTTCGGCAAGGTACCGCTGGACTTCCACAGTAGCGTCTGCTGTAACGCTGTGCCTTCTTCTCGACTCCATCACACTGTCATCCAGATGACGCCACAGTTTGTTACCTGAGAAGTATACAAAGACCTTGTTAGTGAGTGTAGTAATTAATCCAAAATGACCTCAAAACCAAAAACCAAATTACCTGGGGTTACAAGTTCAGCCCCGTGTGATGCTGATGGTTGAGCTGCAGAGCTAACTATGGCAGCACACTCCGATGTAAGCCTTTTTATGGCCTCGTTGGCTTTTGTAGGACTAAAAAATCCCATCGCTTTGAACCTAGGGTCCAGCATTGTTGCAAGCGACATGATGCTCATAGACTGCAATGTGTTGAGCTTCTCCCTTAACTGTCTTTTCAGATGCTCTCCCATTTGTCTTGCCACTGGAGATGCCATATTCGTCATCTCTTCCTGCAGATTTTCATCTAGCATTTTAAGCAGTGGCAATACCTTAGACCCAGAAACCTTCTTTTCTTCTGACAGCTCCACAGTGGCATCATTAAAGCCAGAGAGCAGTGAAAGGCATGCAGTCACAGAGGTGAGCTCATCAGAGCTCAGTGGGGGTATCTCAGTGGCCAGACTGGCTAAAGCTGCCCGCACTGGCTCTTTGAGCTCCACCAGACGGTGCAGCATTTGAAAGGTGCTGTTCCAGCGGGTCTCCACCTCCTGAAGGAGCTTCAGCGTAGGCCTTCCCATCTGCTGTTGCAGCAGTGCAAGCTTTTCCTTTAAAAAAAAAGAGTAGCAATTAATTTTTAGAAAACGGAGAGTTCCGGTCCTTGATTCTGATTGGCTGAGCCGCGTTCGAAGCTGTTGTAAATTACTCTACAAACATACACCTTTGTTTACGTTTGTCTGTTGCTCGGCAACCACTTTGTTGGAACCACAACTGTTTTAAAGCAATAAGCCCCGTGAAGCTGTGGTTTACAGTGAATTTATAACAGCTACTCCACTTCGCGTCGTGCCTAACAATGCCCCTTAGCTGTTATAAATTCACTAAACCACAGCTTCACGGGGCTTATTGCTTTAAATTGTCACAGCAGTAGTAACGCAAGCAGAAATTGTAACAGACTCAAAGAACACACCTTAGCAGTGACGCTGCTTCTGAAGTATCCCACGAGCTTCCTCGCCTTGGCCCGAATATCAGCGAGCACAGGGGTCTGGTCAAGAGCCTTTTTAACTATCAGGTTAAGAGTGTGTGCAATGCAGACCGTGTGACGGAGCCTCAGTTCCCTGCCACAGGCGATCATATTAGCAGCACCATCTGTAACCAGGCATGTTACATTGTTGGTTATCCCCCATTCCTCCATGAGGGAGGCTTTCAAGTGAGCTACATTTTCAGCAGTGTGTGCCTGGGGAAATTTGAGCACTCCTAACAGAACTGAATTGAGACAGGTGTTGCTGTCCACAAAGTGGCAAGCTACTGCCAGGTAGGCACCCATGTTGATGGACGTCCACAGGTCAGACGTCAGGCTCACTGCAGTCACCTTCTTCACGTCAGCTTTGGCCTTCTCCTTGGACTCGGCATATTTCGCCTCCACCATGGCCTTTACAGCCTAAAGGAAAGAAGAAGCAGTGCTTAATTGCCAAATGCAATATTGTAATACTCTTTTGCTTAATGCATGGACCTATACACACCTGCCTTGTGGGAAGAACATAGCTTGGGTCTAGTTTCTGAACAAAGTCCCTAAATCCCACATCCTCCACAATACTAAATGGCTGTGTGTCTTTCACAATCATTGTGACCAGGGCCTCATCCAGCTCTTGTTTTCTGGTAGCTAGAAAAAAAAGAGAAGCTGTGTAAATAAAGTATTTTTTACTTGATTTACAAAAATCAGGATGGAAAAGTGTATAATATTTGTAATGACACACCTTGGCTGGGCCCACATCCATTTCTCTCCTTGTTCTCATGCAATGCACGGTAATGCCTTATCATAGACGAAGTGTTATTATTGTACCCCAATTCCTTAGAGCACAACATACACTTCACCTTTGAATAAAAGATAGTAAGAAATTATGAAAAAAAAAAAATTTTCTTACAAATACAATGCATTGGTAATAATGTATGTATATATGTACTGTATGTATGTATGCCTACCTTGTTAGAAGAAATCTGATCAAAGTATTCCCATACAGGAGAAGTCTTTCTCTTTTTTGCTGGCTCCAAAGAAACAACAAGCAACAATATCAAATAAGCTACACTATCACATAACCAAAGCTCCCCTCTATCACAACCACACATCCCATGGGTTTATATAGCTGTCCAAAAGTCGCGGCAAGATTCGAACCGATTCCTGAACCAGTCCATATTTATGATAAAGCAGATCGTGGAGACATTTTAATCGATCAAAAATCGTCATATCGCACACCCCTAGTTAATTATTAAATGAACTGAAAGATGATAATTAAAGTTATTTATTCATTGTAAGTTTTCACTAAACATTTGCACAGTGTTTTATATATATATATATATATATATATACTGTATATATAGGGTGCAACGGGGTTTTTGTGCCATCTAGTGGTTTAGATGAAAATAATATCAAAGGCGCCTTTTACTCCGTTGTACCCTATATATATATATATATACACACACATAGACATGTGCCGGTATTCGGTGATGCGGTATATCACGGTAATGAATATGCACGATATTGTTATCGTGGGCACTTCTAAATACCCTGAATAATTATATATTACAAATTATTCAGAATTTTGAATGCATTTTAAGAATACTTTTCCCATCAACTGGTCAAAATGCACAACACCGCTGTATGCTGCGTGAAAGACGCGTGCGCACTCTGATGTAAACTAAACCTGTTATACTGTATTATGACAGCACTTTTTTAAACTAAATTTCAATATCGTGATAATACCGCATACCGTGATAAAAGCATTAATAATTAATCACAACATGAAAATTTAATACCGGCATATCCCTATACACACACACACACACACACACACACACACACACACACATTAGCTGACTTAACAGACCAAAAACAGACCACATTTATTTATTAGTTTTTATTTCACGAGTCTGTCTTTAAAAGCAGCTTTGAAAAGAGAAAAATCAGAAGTTTCTCTTAGGAACATGGGACCTACATGAATAATGTCTGTAACTCATAACCAGAGGATAAAAGCAATCCCAGCACAGACTGAAGTAATTCTACAGAAGTCATTAATGAGGAATCAAACCTGTTTGTAGCTCAGCATCCTTTATTTTGCATTCTTCTGGATCACTCACGTCTTCACTCTCCTCTTTAAAAAACTCCATCTTTTCAGTATTGCTTCATGAAGAATGTGCTGTTACACCAGCAGCTAGACTGCTTGCTTGAACCCAACTGGCCTCTTTAATGCCTGGATTTACTTATTTCTTCACTCTCTTCTTTAATTAACTCCATGTTTATAATATTGTGTTATGCAGATCTCTGCCGTTTCGCTCGGAGTTGTTCCTACTGGTTTGCTCACTGATGAGAATAATTACCTGAAATAAATAAATGCCGAATAAATATTTCTGTTACTCATGTGTGGATGCGCTTTACTAGTCATTTATGCATAACAGCAGTACACTCATTCTACTTTTATTTCACCACTGCTGCTTTTAAAGTTTTAAAGCGCATTATTATAGAGTAATTACATTTGTAGTGCATTTGTAAACACTTAAAATCCATCTGAGCGCTCTAACACCTTAAATACTGACGGGCTCAAAACAACAAACATCGCAGGCGCATTATTATGACGCCACAACAACACATCAAAATAAAAGTCTTTTCAGACGATTACGGGATGATGATAATAATAATAATAATAACAATTTCAATTAACAAATTATTCATTTCAATACCACAAAACGCTATTTTTAATTATACTTAAACAGTGTAAATATCTATTCTGAGTGGAGTCTCGCTTGGTAGTGTATTTTCACGTCGTTGGACGACTTGTGTATTTTAATATTCATTTCACCAAATAAAATAAAATTATCCCGTGATGTATATTTCATTATCAATATATAATGTGGAAACAGCGTTTGAACAAGACTTTTATTTTGAGTTGCGCTGACGTCATAATGCTGCGCCAGTGTGTGCTGGGATTCGGCTGAGAGGTTTGTGAAATTTAACCCGTCAGTATTTAAGGTGTTTAAATAGATTTTTTACACAGAGTATTGCAGATTAAGGTGGAGTGTTGGATGTAATGTTTTATGTGAATGGTGCAACATAAATGACGTGTAAAGCGGATCTACACCAGTTGCAGAAAGACTTACTTTGTGTTTATCTTTTAAAATTAATTATTTCTCCCCCAGTTCATTATTCTCATCATCCTAAACATGACAAAGTGTGCAAACAAGTAGAAAAACTTCAGGTGGAACAACTGAGATCTGCATGAGATTTCACATAATATTATAAACATGGAGTTTATTAAAGAAGAGAGTGAAGAAATAAGAATTCAGATGAAGATACTAAGAAAATAGGTTGGTTTCCATTCTCATTACACAGTTTTGTTTTATAAAGAAATGTATAATATTTTTGAAAATGTTTACAGTCATATAAACTGACATTAGATGAGTCATATGAGTGGCCTAATTAAAGTTGCTTGATTAGCTCAGTTTTGTGATGATGTATAACCAACTCAGGATGGGATATATCTTGCTTGATCTCCTCCATAGTTTGTTAAAGGGGTCCTATTATGCTCTTTTAGAAAGTCTTGATTTTGTTTTGGGGGTGTACTAGAACATGCTACTGACCACAACCCCCCCTGGATCTGACAGATGGACACTCTGGGGGCATCATGAACGTTTTAACGTTAAATGCATCAATCTGGTGCACATTAAAAGCAAAATTAAGAGTCTATTGTTACTCCAGTTTCTTCAGCTAAAAACCTGATTCTACAAACATCCAGGTTCATTTCTCTTATCAAACACAAAGCACAACATTTTTCTCCATATGATGGACTTCAATGGGATCCAACGGGCTGAAGGTCCAAATTGCAGTTTCGGTGCAGCTTCAAAGGGCTCTACACGATCCCAGCCGAGGAATAAGGCTCTTATCTAGCGAAACTATCGGTCATTTTCTTAAAAAAATACAAATGTATATACTTTTTAACTACAAATGCTGGCCTTGCACTAGCTGGACTTCACGCATGACGTAACTCAAATGTGCTTGTGTGACGTGAGAACAAACTTAGTTAATGTAAAATTGAGTTTAAAAAATGCAAAAGTTCTAAATTATTTTCACCCTGGTTGTGAATCAACAATCGTCTAAATGAGCGTTATGTAGCTACAGCAGCTATCTAGATGCGATGCCATTGACATCAGAATTACATAATTAGCTTTGCGTTATTTAATGGCTGTTGCTTTGTGGCATTAAAATGATTCCCAGTTTTCTGTGTCTTGAACTGATTTTTGAACATTTATTATGTTAATTATAGACCTGATGCCGCCGAAAGATGAAAGCCAAGAAGCGAATGAAGTGGAGGAGAAACACCATGATTTCACAAGTGGAGAAAAATCCTGTAGTTGCACAGAGACAGAAAATAATTGCTCAGAAAAGAATATATAATAGTAGTTTCATAGAATGCATATTGCATAGTAATCGTTTAATTTATGACTAATTTTCTCATGACAACTCTGCTGCTGCCAATACATCCACAGACATGCGGCTGTGAGCACGTAAGAAATACTGCTGCTGCACATTAATATCGCTTATCGCAATTATTTCTGGGGCAATATATCGCACAACAAAAAGTTGTTATCGTGACAGGCCTAACTGTGAGGAAACTTTTATTACAAGGGTGATGATTAATCATTTTCAAATAGTATATTAAATAAAATATAAGGAATCTGCATACTACAACATTAATTTAAAAGCAAGCACAGACTCAGCAGCTTATAAGTTCATAAACTCTGAGGAAAGATGTTATATATCATTAGTTCAGTATTTGTTTTTGGTTTGCATTAACCTCAGGGACTCTGAGGAAATCTGAGAAATGTTCTGGGTTTGTTTGCATGCGTGAGACAAGCAGAATAACACTGTTAAAGGAAAACATCTCCGTCCAGCCTCTGAATATTGTACTTATTTTCATCTTCTGGTAATACATTACAGACATAATTCTTGTAAGGTGGATTTTGTCCCATATAAGCGTTTAGTTTTAGTCTGCTTAAAAACTGCTATGTGAAAATATTAAACTACCAATTAATTCACTGGCATACAGCCTAATTTGCATAATAATAATATTAATGGAGATGTCTATTACAAGTTATTAATTTCATTACTACAAAAGGCTATTTTTAATAATAGCCTACATAAAAACGTGTGAATATTTATTCTGTGGAGCCTCGCTGGACGACGTGTATTTAAATATTAATTTCACCTAATAAAATGATCCTGTCACGTATATTTCATGAGGAAACAGCGTCTGCCCAGGACTTTTATTTTGATTTGTATTGACGTCATAATGCTGCGCCAGTGAGAGCTGTGTGGAATTGAACCCATCAGTATTTAATGTTTAAATTGATTATTTTCCAGAGTATTGCAAATTAAGGTGGAGTGTTGGATGTAATGTTTTATGTGAATGGTGCAACATAAATGATGTGTAAAGCGCATCTACACGAGCTGCAGAAAGACTTACTTTGTGTTTATTTATATTTCCAGTTCATTATTTTCATCATCTTAAACATGAGATGATGATGACACATGATAAACATGGAGTTTATTAAAGAAGAAAGTGAAGAAATAAGAATTCCAGACCCATGCAAAGCGAAAGATGAAGATACTGAGAAAAAAATAGGTGGGTTTCCATTCTCATTACAGTTTTTCCTATAAAGAAAATAATATTTTTGAAAATGTTTACAGTCATATAAACTGACATTGACATAAGTACACGAAGTGAAATGTTTCATTAATGCATTGCATTTTAATTAAACCAATTAGATTTAGTCGACTAAAATATTATGATATTTAAAATTAAAACAATTCAGATGACTAACTAAATGGATTTCGAGTCAAAAGACTAAAACTAAATCAAAATTTGCTTGGTGTTAACACCTAGACTTAAACAATTATGTGAACAAGTGAATTGTAAATAATATTAAAATAGGAAGATGCGTGCAATAATTACGTGCAATTACACAAATAAACAGAACAACACAATTTTTCTTTCAGATATGTCTAGCTATATATGTCTAGCTTCTGCTAAACGCTGCATTTATTTGATCAAACACAGAGAAAGCAGTAATGTGAAATATTAATACAATTTAAAACAACCATTTTCTATTTTAATATATTGTAAACTGTATTTATTTCTGTGATCAAAGCTGAATCATGATCTTCAGAAATCATTCTAATATGCTGATTTATTATCTTTGTTGGAAATGCTGTCACTTTTTATCCGTTTAACACATCTTTGCTAAATAGACGTATTTTCTTTCAAAAGAAAAATAAAGTAAACAAAATTTACTTACCCGAAACTTTTGAACTGTAGTGTATGGTGTTACAATTTTTATTTTTATTTTTAAGTAAATGCTGTTCTTTTTATTATTCATTTACTGGTAATAATGGTAATTTCATGTCATTTTCATTTTAAAAGTGTTTGTTATTTCCAGCAGGTGGCAGAAATCATCCACTAAAGCATGGCACATCTGGTTATCTTTATGAATAAAAATTAGAAATGTAGATTTCCTTTAAATTGAATTTTAAAGCACGACTCTGACGTTAAAAAATAGGTGTTTAAAACATTACATGCAAAAGAAAATTAACAAACAAATAGTTTCTTTGTAAGAGTTGGTTTCTGTGTGCAACATTAAGGTACATCCTGATGCCTGCATGCAAGTACCGAATTCAGTTCCCGTGAATGGTTTATTGCACTTTTAATCATTTATCAAGAACACTCTTTATTTGCTTATTCACCCATGTTTCTTTATCACTCTAACGTGTCAGTAACTTTAAGCATGCAAGGATGCATTTATAGCAAAACCCTATTGATTACAACATGTCGCCATGATAAATATCGTCATATTGCCTAGCCCTAATCTGCGCCTCCCCTGAAGAGGTTGAACTTTGAAAACCCCTACTTTAGCGTGCCACCTATCCTCTGTTCTTAAAGAGGTAGTTCATCCAAAAATTAAAATGAAAAATCATTAACTCAATCATTATAAATCATTAACTCACCAACATGTCATTCTGTGTCATATCCAGTGTTAATTTCGTCAACGAAGACGACAATGGAAAATATTCGTTAACAAACTTTTTTCTGTGACTAAGACGAGACGTTGAAGAGCTAAAACTAATATCTGATGATAAAAACTATGCCGAAATTTATGCCGCGTCTTCGTTAACAAGACGAGACGGGACTATAATGTTATTTGAGGACTAACAGTCTTTCAAAATACATCCTATAGCCTACTGTCTTGTCCTTCAAAATGTGCGTCCCTGTCATTGGATTGCAATCGGATGAGGGGCGTTTGCATGTCTAGTCTCAGTATGGCAGCCGCAGTGGAAGGATAGACTACCAAAACGCAAACTAGCGATCTGAAACAATGGCCTCAGCACCCGAAGGGGTAGGGATAAGGTTTGAGAACAAACCTCATTGGTTCTTGCAGAAACTCGAACATATTTGTGTGACGCACGAGAACAAACCTCATTGGTTCTTGCAGAAACTCGAACATGCTTGTGTGACGCACGAGAACAAACCTCATTGGTTCTTGCAGAAACTCGAACATGCTT